TCTCCCTCCCCCTCCTTCTTCCTCCTCCTCCGCCTTCTTCCTCCTCCTCCGCCTTCTTCCTCCTCCTCCGCCTTCTTCCTCCTCCTCCGCCTTCTTCCTCCTTCTTCTTCCTCCTCCTCCTTCTTCCTCCTTCTTCTTCCTCCTTCTTCTTCCTTCTTTTTTCTCCTCCCTTTTTTCTCCTCCCTTTTTTCTCCTCCCTTTTTTCTCCCTTTTTCCTCCCTTTTTCCTTTTTCCTTTTTTCTCCCTTTTCCTTTTTCCTCCTTTTTCCTTTTTTCCCCTCCTTTTTCCTTTTTTTTCCTCCTTTTTCCTTTTTTTTTCTCCTTTTTCCTTTTTTTTTTCTCCTTTTTCCTTTTTTTTTTCTCCTTTTTCCTTTTTTTTCCCCCCTTTTTTCTCTATAACGTTCTCCTGGGCAGCCTGCCACAGGGCCAGGGTTACTCACCTGTGCTACCTCCGTACTCACCGTGCTGGGCACGACCAGGGGCACGCCGGGCAGAGGGCCGTCTGCAGCGGCCGCGCTGGGGCTTAGCACCACGTAGGTGAATCCCACCTTTCCGCTGTTCTGCAGGGTGACCTCTGCTTCGGTGACTTCGTTAAACAGCTGAAGAGGAGTGGAAAGTTGAAGACACAGACCTGACACTGGGAATCTCCTTCTGCTTTCCTTGGGATGAGAGCAAATGAACGCAAAGCAGGAGAGAAGCAGGGGCAGAGGAGCTATGGGCACTTGACTCTCCCGGCTTAACCCGGGGGACCCACAGCCACAGGTACCTCTCAGCCCTACACAGGAACAGACATTTATGGCAGCGTGCGGAGGGGCAATACCAACCACATAAAGATCAGTAATAAAAAAACCAAAGAGGATACAAGCCCCCTGCACTTTAAGGTGTTATCTAACAGCTAGCTGAAACAAAGGAGGCAGCATCAAGGCATTGCAGAAGAAAAAAGGCATCCTGCATACAAGTATTTGCAGAGCTTGCAGTGACAGCAAAAGGGGAGACAGACAGTGCAGCACAGACAGGGCCAAGAGCTGGAAATATCTGTGGGGTTTTTAACTGAAAAGAAGTAAAGCAGGGATCGTTCTGAGACATTCTCTCCAGCTACAGTGACTGGAAGCTCAAGTTAACTTCGTCCCTGGTTTATTTTGTTGATTAATCAAGAGCGTTAAAAGAGCGTGTCTCCTTGGACCTCAGGCTTTAGGAGCGGATCAGTGGATGGATGTCTCGGGGCATGTCCCTCTGGAGATGACCACTGGGATCCCACCTTCCCCAGCAGGCAGCGTTAGTAATCTTGAAGAGGAGGAATTCCCAACTTTGGGAGGGTGGGGGCGTGGAGATGGCCATTAAAAACCAGTTTGGATGCAGGACGTACCACTCAAAAGCTGTACTTCCAAGCCATACGGCTCAGAAAGTAGCTGGGAAGGGGGGAGAGCCCTACCCCTAGGTGGGCAGCGACCCGCTGGGGATGGTTTCAAAGACCTCTGCCAAGAGAAATGTGCAGCACCTGCAGCCCGCAGTCGATCTCCGTGATGTCTAGGAGGTAGTTGATGAGCGAAGCCTCCCCACTCAGCACGATCTCGTAGGTCGGGCCTCCCTCCACCCTGCACGCCGCAACGACGCGGGCGACGATGTTCGCGTGGCCAAAGAAGGTGAACGTGACCCGCTGGCTCTCGCCCGGCTGCAGCACGCCATACAGCGGCAGGACGTCGAAAACCTGGAGGTAGAGGGGGAGAGATCGAGATGTCAAGCATCGAAATTGATGCAGAAGAGCAGCCACGGCTTGGAGCAAAGGACAGACGTGGCTAGAAGGACATCTTCCTCAAACACAGGCAAAATCATCCTAATCTCATCCTGCATCCATTACACTTTCCAGTAGAGGAACCATGGGAAAAATCTTCTCCCATACTTGCTAATTAACACATTAATTAATACACTACGTTAAAGTAATTTGGGAGGTCTCGTAGCAGCAAGAAATTCTCTCTGCTGCAGAACCTGCCTTTAAAAACATCTTTTACTGCCTCTAGAGAAACGCAAGGCTGGGAGGTGAAAGCCCTTGGAGCCGAGGGGAGAACTCCAGCCCTGCTCATCCGACTCCTGATGCTTTTCGCTCTCTCTCCGACGTGCACGCTGCTCTCTCTCAAGATGCTAGAGCAAAAGCTGCAGCAGAAATTTCCTATCGACCACTCAATTGGTAACAAGATGAATAACGCCCTCCACAGCTGCTGCGCAGGTAACGTCCTTGGTCAGCCCGATGACATGTCCCGCACGTCCCCTCCAACGACCAGTTGCTTCAGCAGGGCTGCGCGACGTGCTCGGGGGGGTGCAAAGCCGCTCTGTGAGCGGCGCCGAGGGCCACCAGTGGGAGTGGGGGCTACCTAACCGCTGGCCACACTGGAAAAGCAGAAGCGAGACAGACTTACCTCCTCCACCCCCAAGGCAAGGGGCTCTGTCTCCGTGAAATGCATCAATTCCTTGATCCTCACCAGGCTCTGAGTCTCCGCGGCACCTTCCAGCTCCGCAGCAGTGGATGGTAGCGGCTGGAAAACAAGCACCGTGGGCTGCAGTAAGCAACTGGCTGGTCTGGGTGAGACCACTCTGCTGCAGGCTCCACCACCGCGTCAAGCCAGGAGCAGCTGAGATGGGACCTGGGAGCAAATCAAGTAGGGGTATGTCCGTGCCATCAGTTGAGTGTGGGTCCAAGCCCACCCACAGATGAGACATGGGCACCACCTGCACTTCCCATGCGCCAGCTTGCACGAGGAAGCTGGGTGCACCCAGCACTCAGCCCTGGCAGAGACCTCAAGGGCATTTTGCACCCTCGTGCCAACCTGGCTTCGCTCGCTCCTGCCTAAGGAACACGCTGAGAATACCCATGCCCGGAGAGGTTAGGCTTGCCGTGACAAAAACCAGAACGTAGCTGCAAGTGAGACGATCAAAACCAGGAAAATAAAGACTTAGAAAGTGCTCGGCGCAACTACCCCACTTCAGATGGTGCTCAGGTTTCATCTCATGCGCTCATCAGTGCTGGAGAGCTGAGGGTCTCTGAGGCGTTCTTCTCGAACACCACCTTCCTGAAGAAGGCAACTGAGATGTTTTTCTGTCTTGCAGCAGCTTCTCAGCTCTGAGGTGTTTAACCTCAGAGGTGCCATCTTTCAAAAGGAACCTCATCCTGGGCTTCTGACCCATATTTATAAACGAGGGCTTTGTGATTGCTCTTGAAGTTTAAGAATATGTGCTTCTTCACTAACGTGAAGAAACACTTTGTGCTGTGACCTTGATTTCAGGAGGATCTGCAAGAATATTCACGGGACATCCTTAGACCTAATCAGGCTACATCTCCCCAGTAGATGAAGCACCGGGGAGGGCAGAGTCTTCTCATATTTTGATGCTCTTTGTCATCTCCACATTTTCAAATCTAGCAAAGCTTTGCCAAGCGTATATTCCCAAAGATGCTAACCACACCTTTCCTAGGCCGATGGTCTCCCACCTCCCCAGAGATGTATATGGACATTGCCTTGATACAGAGACACAAGCAGAAGATGAAGCTGCAATCCAGATGTATCCTTTGAAGCAATTTTGGATCCTACTTAGCCACGTCTACTTGCATTTCCCTGGTTTATTTGTGCATACGTGGCAACAAAGCAGGAAATAAAGATGATTTCATGCTTCTGCCTGAAAACATTCAGCCACACTATTCTTCACATCTACAGAGTATCATTTCTCCTGGTTCAGAAAAAAAGGCGTAGAGTTGTAATGTTAAAACTGCTGATGTTTGGATGTGAGCAGGTGCAACCCCTCTCCTTGAACCTAATGCCAACGCTGAACCTCCCGTGCTTTCTTACATCCTTTTTTTATTGCCCCAGGAGCAGCCTCTGTCCCACACGATGCAGAACAAGGCGCCAGATCCCACTAGCTCCAAGGTCAAGCTCCAAAGCAGCGAGGTTCACCAGGAAGGTCAGCAGATCAAAGGTGACTTTGTCTGCAAAGCCTTGTTTTATAAAACACTGTGGCCATCACTGCAATACCGGGTCTTGGGGGAAGGCAGAGGCGTGAAAACACGTGGCTCTAGCTGGGGTTGAGAAGGTGGTAGGTGGAGATCAGCACTTGGCACAGCTTGGTACAGAAAGGAAACTGGAAGCCTTCACGTCATGATGCACATAAAAGCCTCATTTGATGTTGTAAAAAAACAAGCCAGAAAAATCCCAAACCCAACATAGGTCAGTAGGATCTGAGTGGGCTTCTCCAAGCAAAACTATCCTATTTCTCCCTCCCCAGAAGCCCCGTCTCCAGCCACTGGCCCTGCTGCCATCCCTGCTCTCGGGGCACGTGACAGCAGGGCAGAAAAAAGGGAGGTTGGCACCAGCATGGCTTTTTGGTGGCAACCTGGGGGAGGCAACGCAGGCGGTAGGCATGCAGGAAAATCTACCTTTGCCTCCAGGGAGTCGTCTGCGTCTGCTGGCTCTTGGGCAGGATCCGCTGCTCCCAGGGCTTCCTGCGCACCCCCATCCCTGGAGCTGCTTTCTGCAGACGCCGAGCGCTCCGACCAGGCTCCCTCCTCCTTCGGTGGTCGGGGTTTGATGAAAAATTTAGGCGTTAGAGGGCTGAACCTGGAAGAGAACGTAACTTTGGTCACGGACCTGCAGTGGGAGGGAGGGAAGCCTGCACGAGCAGCTCCTCGGCAGGATGCGGCCCCTGGGTGGGCGCTGGTGGTGTGAGCTCGGCGCTGGGTCTGACCCGCCAGCTCCGAAACCAGGATGGAGCAGGTCAACGCTTGGGGCTGCCCAGGGGACCGCGCGCCTCGCCGCTGGCGTAGCAGCGGTGCAGGCAGCTGGTCGCACCAAGGAATGGAAGGGGACAGAGGTGAACGCCTTGTGGGGAGGCAAAAAGCGCAGCAGGAAAGGAAGAGACAGACAAAATGTGCAAAAAGGTGAGACGGAGACGCGAAGGGGCAGATCCGAACAGCAATGAGCCGGTACGGACCCACCAGGGCCCTCCTGAAAGCACCCACTGCCCTGGACCCACCTGAGGGCCAAAGCGAGAAATTTTGCAGCTCTACTAGACATTTATCCCGAATATTTCCCCTGATGACTACCCGCAGGTCAGCACAAGCAAGCGGCAACGCTGGTGGCTTTCTCCAAGTGCGATCAGGCAGGAGCAGGGACGGAGCCCGCAGCCTGCCGTGCCCTGACCGGACCGAGCCCAGCGTGGCTCAGGGGCACCCATGGAGCCCACCACGGGACACTCTCACACACGCAAGGCCACCAGCGACATGGAAAGACACGTCGAACAATTCCGAGCAGAGATTCACAATTAGACAGCCCATTGATCCCCGATGAGCTCCGACGCAGCAGCAATTAGTGCTTTGGGGAAGGAAGTTTTGGTCGTTTTTAATCAATATCCAGCAAACGTCGACGACAAGATTCAGCTCCCTGCTGTGCCGCAGGAATTCCCCGGTTGCAAAACAACGGCTGTACCTGCACCTCGCATGAAAAGGGATCAGCTCTGCTGAAACAAGGTTAAAACCCATGTGGCACTTACCGACGGCGTGGTCACCTCCCCAGCGGGTTCTAAACACAAACTGTTCGAGGACCGACTTGGCAAACGATTCAGCAAGGCTTGTTTTACGAACAGAGCTGAGCTTATAGCTTGACCAACATCTGTCAGTCAAAAATATCTGGTTTAACGTTTCCAAACGTTCCCAGGCGACTCAGATTACGTTCCCTGTCTTAAATCGCAGCAGGTGCTGACAGTAACTCTGCTGGTATTTCTAATGCCACGTGGAGGGAGCCGTGCCTGCCTGTCACCGTCCCTATCTGCAAGCATTCCCCACAGGCAAACAAGGCAGATTTTTACAGCAACCTGGGTGCTTCGTTCCCAGCTGGAAATGCAGTGCCTTTAACGACATGCTCCCAGAGAAACATTTGTCTTTAGCTTTGTAGCTTATTATCTAAGGCTGCGTTTCATTTCTGGATTAGAGGCTCTGCTCTTCATAACCTGAGAGCTCCCACCGGGCTTGTCCTTCCTGCAGCCGCGCACAAGAACAAGGCTTGGCCCGGGCGAGCCCCTCCGCAGCCCTCCCTCCGCCTGCTGCCGGGACCCCGAGCGAGACCTCGGCACCGACCGTGTGGAAGAGCGATGCGGGACGGGAGGGGACGAAGGCGTTCGCTTGCCCCTGCAGAGCATCCCCCATCTCCAGTCCCATCTGTGCCACCGTCGCTCCTCTCAGCCAAGGCACCTCAACCTGTGTCGGGGTGCGCCGAGGGGTGAGCGAACCCCTCAACGCCTCCAGCAGCCGCTAACTTGGGCGTCTGCGTAGGGATGAAATAAATCCAGCTCGGCTGCAGCCTGCAGCTGAACCCTGCCGACGGGAGATGCCTGCAGCGCAGGGGTACAAACACCCAGGGCCAGGAGCACCCCAAAGCCCTCCAGCGACATACCAGTCCGCGCACGGGTCTGGCCATCGTCGCGGTGGCTGTCCCCAAACTGCTAGCTGCAGTCCGTCCTAGCGAGGAAATGAAAGCGCGGCTCTTGGAGCCCCTTGTGATAAATACTGCGGGTTAATAACAGCTCCTGAGGAGAGGTAAACCCCCGAGACGGAAAATCCATAATCATTTATTAAATTACCTTTAGTTTTATAGAATGGTTTGAGGCAACTTCGTGGGATCGCGGTGCCTAAACAACAATATTTTTCACTCTAAAGTAGAAGCCTTGTGGGACCTGGTGCTGGGAGATGATGTGATTAGCGAGTCCTGCTGCAGAGAAGCACAAAGCACAGCGAGGGACTTTTTCCAGTGGGGGAAAGTCAAAATGAATACCAAGAAGTGTAACGTGAAAGGGAAGGGAGCGAGGAGGCCAAGGTGTCGATAGAAAGCTGACCCCTGGGACAAGAAATCTTCCCGGCGCTGAAGGAAAGGGGGTTGTCTTAGAAAAGGAGAAGGAAGGGGAAGACAACAAGATGTTCAGCATCAGCCCGGGCTTCAGGCAGCTCCTTCTCTGACGTGAATTGGGACTTTCTGGGCATCCTCCAGCACCTTCAGGCCAAGGTTGTGGATGCAGGGAGGAAGGCGAAGAGCAGAAAGCGGTTCCTCCACCTGCAGAGAGGAGCTATCCCACGGGGGGCCAGAGGGCTGTGGAAGCGCCTCCGCCAGCAGCGTGGAGCTGAGACAAGGAGCCCCCTGACACAGGCAGGTCAGCGGGAGCTGGAGGGGCTGAAAGCAAGGTGTTAACCCCTCTGGGTCTGTCTCACCCAACCCGGCCACCCCTCAGATGAGGCAAAACGCATCCAGGAATTAACAGTGGGGACTGAATGGGAGCACGGGCAGACTGACATCAGGGAGAGAGGAGTCCTTCCTGCTAGGGCCAGGACAACCTTCTGCCACCCACCGTCCCCAACCTCTGAGACATTAGAAAAAAAAAAAAGCATCTCAGCCTGTCTCCTGTTTTCTGAGCCTGCTAGGGACACAGCTTCACACCGCTTCCCACACCCGCCTCCCAAAATAGAGGAGCTAGAAATCACACCGCTTCTGCAAACTACACGCGAAGATTCACACGGGATGACGTGACCCCGCCGGCTCAGGCTGCGCGGGAGCTGGCGACATCGGGACAGTCACCCCCAAACTGTAACGGGAAGGCCCGAGGTCCCTGCAGCCCCTGCCAGCACCAAGGACACGTGCCAGAAGCCACCACCGCTTCGCATTAAAAGCAAGAGTTTTAACAGTGCTGAGACCGCTTCCCCAGGACATGGTACCCACCTGTGGAGCACCCTCGCCCAGGCCCCCCAGGACCACCCGCTGGTGCACCCGTTAGGCACTGGGTGAAAACAAGCCTCCCAACAAAGCACGAGCTCTTTTCAGGTTATCACAGGGCAAAGCACCAGACACCGCAAGCCCATGAGGCATGAAAGAGGCTTGCAAGCCCCTACGATGCATTTTTATTTCTCCTTCGGGCCATCAGATGCATATTAAAAAGGCACTTCGGAGCAAGCCACAGACAGCCCAAGGCTGTTTGCAACTGAAAGCAAAATAACATAATACTGGAGTGAAAACCTTCCCAGTGCACCGTGTGGGAACACTGGGCTTGAGCTGGGCCACCTGGCCAGCAGCCGAGGAAGGTGGTGGTGATGGTTTGTCCTCATCAATAGCAACTATTAAAAGATGGCCCTGAAGCCTACTTCTTTGCTAGGATAAATTCCTCTGCTAATCTAAGGTTTGTGTGTTTACTGAACCACCCATTGAAATTCAGACCAGGCACTGGAGAGACAGAGAAGAGAAGCAACACCGCTGCAGCGAGATCCAACACCTCCAACTTCTGTCTTGCACATGCTGGAAATGATTAAGCTGGATTCGGCGTTCATCTGAATGCAGCGAGCATCCCACTGTGACCGAGTATTAATTAGCTTGCAGTTAATATGCAGTTTTAACGGCCACTTACTTATTTGAGCAAAAAAAAAAAAAAAAATCAGTTTTGAGAGATGAGGGAGAATTTTGATTTCTTGTTTGAAAGTAGAAATTGCGTAGGAATGGATGCAGGGATGCTACTACTGAAAAAGACGTGAAGTATCCCATGTTCCTGGAGCAGCAACCAAAACTCTCTAGCACCTTTCAAGCAGAAGCCACG